GGAAAAGAGCAATAAAATTTTTTTTTAATGCAGAAAAATAAGCTCAATCTTTACATGTTATTTCTAAAGAGAAGATTTAAGGGAATTAAATCTAAATAAAGAGTATAAGCAGTCCTATACTGCCCTTAACATTCTCCACCCCAATTCTTTAAGGAAATAAAATTTCTCACCTCTACTACAGCTACTTCTTGATTTTTGGAGTTCATCAGGGATTCCATCTTTTTCCCATCCTACACAATCTCCCTAGGGAATCCTTGTTTCAATTACCATCTATATGTTGGATCATCTGTTTCCAGGCCTAACTTCCTAACATGTATGTATCCAATTGCTTACCTGGTATCTCCACTTGATTTTCCACGGGCTCTAAAACACATTCTCTTCCTACCTCTAAACAAACCAAAAGAATCTGGTCCTCTGACAAGGTTCCTTAGTTTAGTAAATACACTCAGATGCTTAAGCCACAAACCTGGGAATATTCTTTGATCCTTACCCATTTTACCCATTCAATCATTACTTCTTACTAATATGTCTTGCTAAGGGTCCCTTAAGGGTCATTCTTTCCACCCCTATTACTAAAATTCCAATCAAAGCCACTGTCATCCATCATCTGGATGACTCTAACAGTCTCTCATCTGGCCTCTTGGTCTCTAGTTGTGATATCCTTCAATCTATTCTTCTCCAGGTAGCCACAGTGGTTTTTAAAAATACATATTAAAGAATGATACCAGGAAAGATGACATTTAATCACATTGTGTAAAGGACTAGAATTTGTTGTCTTCCTTAAGTTTTCTTCAGTCAATTCAAGAGTTATCATTATCCTTTATCCAAAAGCTCCTTTATCCTCGTAGCTTTTGTTCTTGTGAAACATTTTAAAACACAAACTTACATAGTTTTCTTTATTAGCCAATATTACACCTTATTTTTCTAGGAAACCTGCACTCAATTTCCACCTTTAGTTACCATGACATCCTAAACAGCTGAGTCAGAGCAAACTTTCTTATGAAAGTTTACAAAAGAAAACAAAAACATTTTCTTTACATAACATGGAGATCATGATAAAAATACTATTAGGACTAGAAGGCTCAGAGCATGGGAGAATTACTTCTAAGAATTCATTTCTCCATTATAGAGCACAGTCTTCATTATAGGATATAACAACAACAACAAAATCCTGAAATTTAAGGTTTTCAAAATAGTAATATGTAAACAACATAACTATATTGAAGGACACCACTGACCATATCAAATACTATGCTGCATGTTTTTGTGCACTTATGTCTGTATACCTTCTGCATGCCATTTGCTGTTTCAAGTTTTCCAGAAGAATTTCATAGTAGTAAAAAGTCATTTCTCTCAGTTCCACATTTTTATGGTTTCATGACACTGCAAAGACTGATTTCAGGTCCAGCTTCAGTTACACACAGCATTGGAAATCTTTTGAAAGACTCTATGGCAGAACGTTTACAAATACATTATTTCCATTGAATAACAATACAGAATGACTTACTAAAATGGCAATTTTTATAAAGTCGAAATAATCAACAATATAATTCAGGTTCAAAGTATATTATGTGAAGGCTGTTTATACCTTTTAGCCTTGAATCATAATTCAGAATAGCTAAGTATGCTAAGCACAGTACAAGCCCTGTTAAACATCAGTGGAAACCTAATCTTTACCTGGAGAAAAATCCAAACTGTTAAATATATCATGTTCTTATTTAGCAATTATAAGGTAACTTTCTGAACTATGTTAAAAATGAGTTTTGAGGTGGAAGAGACAAACAGCAAATGTAAAAAAAGTGTGTATTAGTATATTTTTCTATTCAAGACTAGTATTAAAATAAATTATTTGATCCACCCATAAAACATTTTTAGTAGTGGACATCAGGTTTTAAGTACTAGCTAAATTGGCAGATTTCTTGAATAATTTCTTCGAAATCATAAAAAGAAAATGGCATAGATGGCTGATGCAGATGCTACTTGTATACTGTTTAATCAGACCAGCGGAAGGTTAAATTCTCTATAATGCTTTAAAAACTTTATCTATTTTCATTTTAAGAAACAACACAGGCTGGGCGCAGTGGCTCACGCCTGTAATCCCAGCACTTTGGGAGGCCGAGGCAGGCAGATCACAAGGTCAGGAGATTGAGACCATCCTGGTTAACATGGTGAAACCCAATCTCTACTAAAAATGCAAAAAAATTAGTCAGGCGTGGTGGCAGGCGCCTGTAGTCCCAGCTGCTCGGGAGGCTGAAGCAGGAGAATGGTGACCCCGGGACGTGGAGCTTGCAGTGAGCCAAGACTGCGTCACTGCACTCCAGCCAGGGCAACAGAGTGAGACTCTGTCTCAAAAAAAAAAAAAGAAAAGAAAAGAAACATCAGTAATTATAAAAAGCAAATTAGATAACACAGAACATCTAAATGATGATGGTCACTGATAAAGCACCCAAAACTCCTATTAGATTTTCCAAGAAAGATGATTTTTTGGAGTACCTATAACATATAAAATGCTTCTAATGCCATTTAAATATTATTACATTATTATTAGGATTCCTAGGATGGAACTCTAACAATTTGCACAAAGACAGAATCTCCCCTCTAGCCAAACTTGCACATTGTGCAAGAAACAAACAAACAAAAAGGCTCCTTCCTTAAGGTTCTTAAGTCAGAAATGTGACATAATATACTGATTTTGTTAGAACAAGAAACTTTACCAACACCTGCTAAAAAAAAAACTGTGATAACATACAAATCTATGGTGTGAATGAACATCACCCCCAGTATATTATGCTGCTGTATACTGCACAAACTGCAAAAGCTACATACTGCATGCCCTGCCCCAACTACTCTCAACAGTAGAGGCTACTCCTCCTAACAAACTTGGAAACATTTCCAGTCTGAAATACTATAAACTACTATCCAGATAAAGTCTTGATCACAGACAGGTATTTAAATTCAAAACCGTTTACATAAAGAACTTATAATATGTCAGTGGGATATTTAACAAGTGTATACAAAAGAAAGTATTTTTTAAGGGTAATGAGAACCAACTCCAGTTTTTTAAATTTAAAAAATCCCTTATTTTTAAAGTCATTTTTTAAAGTGAAAAAATAAACCCAGAAATTTTTCTCAGAAAGGCATTCTATTCAATAACAAAGTACTGATAACTATTTTATAAAACATTCTCATATTTTCCTAATATAACAATGTTCAAGATACTCCCTTAGATACCAAGTCAATGTCACAACTCTTGCACATTCAAATTCTCCAAGATTACATAATCAACTAAAGATTTGCCATGCGTTTCCCAATGACTCCTAAAGACTAAACTACTCAAAAGAATAACGCAAGAGAAAAGTTTTAGCTAAGACATTTGATATACTATCTTATCTTCTGATCAAGGCAGAAGGAGACCTTTCCTCACAAATAATTCATTTTAGTTCAAGTTTATAGATTTCAGGAATGTATACTTCTCCAGTTTATTTTGAATTATGCTATCTGCTTTCATCTAATTTTAATCATGCAAGAGTGATCATATATTCTGATTTCCTGAGACCACTGTTGCGCTGTTGGCCCTATATAACTATCGGTAGTGCCCCCTTTTCATTTCAGAAGTGTCTACTTTTATATACTTAGTTACTATACATTCTTATTAATAAACAATTATAAATTCTGCAAGGTGAAATTTGGATTCAATGCACATGGCTTAGAAATAACAGATGAGGCTGGGTGTGGTGGTTCACGCCTGTAATCCCCGCACTTTGAGAGGCCGAGGCGGGCGGATCACGAGGTCAGGAGATCGAGACCACCCTGGCTAACACGGTAAAACCTCGTCTCTACTAAAAATACGAAAAATTAGCCGACCATGGTGGCAGGCGCCTGTAGTCCCAGCTACTCGGGAGGCCGAGGCAGGAGAATCGCTTGAACATGGGAGGCGGAAGTTGCAGTGAGCCGAGATCACGCCACTGCACTCCAGCCTGGGTGACAGAGCGAGACTCTGTTTCCAAAAAAAAAAAAGGAAAAAAAAGGAAATAACAGATGAAAAGCAAAAGGTTTTAACAAAGATTTACAGAAAACCTAGATAAATTTTAATGTATAATAAGTTATCTATTTTAAATGATTCAAGCTGCACAGATAAATTAGAAATTTGCATTACATTTTTTAGAGATCATTCCCATTGCAATACCTACATTTTAAGTAAAAATAAATGTTTTAAGTGTATTTTCCCTTCCTTCCTGTATCATCTACTGTTTTCATTTATATCTATAAAGTTCATAAATTATTTAGCACCTCCCCCTTTCTGTATAAAATAATCATGTGGGATTTAGAAAGTATTAAACTCTCACAAAAGGACAGCCTGACATTACCATTGCCATTTTTCTGCTACATATTAACAAAAAGCAAAGTTTAGAGCAATGTTTTTATAATATAACATCCTTGAACATTCTTATTTGCTGAGTCTCATGGAGAGACTAAATATAATTTCTTTAAAAGAAAGGCAAATTTTTGGATATGCCAATTAGTCCCATTGCAGTTTCAGGAAAAAGTATTAGCTCATATGTAGTCTTCAACAATATCCCTTATTATATTCAAACTATTTAAATATTAAATATCTTGATTTCACAGGGATATCTTAATCAGAGTTCATTTTAGTTTCTTGGTAGAAATAATGAAATTTGTGGGCTCTTACAAGGTGACAGACTACAGAGGATATATGTTTTATACTTCTTCAAAATTTTTTATAATTTGTCATTATATTGCTTACACACAGCATGACTTCTACATGTAAGACTGATCATTTTACATTTCTGTTACAGATTAACATAAATAAAGGTGGAACAAAAATGCTTTTAGAACTCTATTTTCATTTTAAGAAACAATAACCATTTTTTTTTTTAAGAAAAGACATTTAGTTACTACCTTTAAAGTTCAAGTTCCATCATCTTAATACATAAACATACCTGGATACGGAATTTAAAAAACCACACATACACACAAGCTCTAGGTAGAGCTGTAATAAACAAATTCCTTTTATAAACAAAATTTTAACTGAAAAGCCACAGTAGATGGGGGAAAAAAAAAGAAGAAAGGATATTACTTGGTAAAATCCAGTGACATCTACAATAGTTTTACAGCACATTTAAGCATTCTAGGGTTTTATATCTTCACCTGCCTTCCATTTCTTAGTTGATCCTTATAAAATCTCTAATTACAAACATAGGTTTGATCTAAAACCTAGTCATGAATTTGAGTGCCAGGAAAAGCAGAACAACAGTCCAAATTTCTATCTTAATATCACAGCCTTAATTCAAAAATGGTTTTGTGTAAAACACAACGCCCAACTAAATGGAAAAAAAAAAACACAAGCAGCAATATGTAATTATACAAAATAGTTATTAATTATATATGAAGTGTTTTTTAGGATGACATCCAGAACGCAACTTGCTCTGAGACTCCTCAATAATCAAATTGACTTAGACCAACAATACTGCTAAGTATTAAAAGCAGTGAAGCAAAAGAAAATATATCAAATAGTACATGCACATCTTACAGAACTTCCACTGAACTCCCCAATGGCTTCTATGCAATGTGCCTCTTTTCCATAACTGTATTAACAAATACCAAGAAAGGAAAGATGAGATTAAAAGTAATGATACTGAACTGAATTGTTTGAAGCCAGTGCCCCACATGTGGGGAAAAGTGCATTTAGTTCAGCAGCAATACAGCACAGTGTGAAGATATTGTGCTTAGACACAGATATTCCAGAATTGAAAGATGTACAAGGCAAGTCAAGATATAAAACCATAGTACACTGTTAAATAACCTTGAAACATACATATATTGCAGTTTTCAAAGAAAGACATTCATGTCATTGTACAAGGATAGGAAGAAATCCTTAAAGTTACCTACTGTAGTTTATGATATAATAAATACATATCTATATAGCATTGTATATACATATATAGATTGTGTGTGTTTATATGTAATTTATTTGCCAAATTATCCTGTTAGTTTTTGTGGATCTGCAACTTTCAGGAATGAAAAAACTCCTTTTCACTACAAGTTTCTCTTCCCCCAAACTTAAAAAATATTCATACTAGAAAAGGTCTCAATACCCTTTCTCCTACTCAAAGATTCACTTCAGGTAGTTCGCTTCACAACTCGTCAGAGAAGCATAATTAAAGAAATTCTAGATTTTCGACTGTAACTTTTCACTTTGCCAGTTTTTGGTTTTTTTTTTTTTAACAAGCAAATACCTTTCACTATTTAAACCAGCTGATGCAAATTCTTTAGCAGAGGATTCAAACTCTAGATTTGACTGAATAAAACAGAGCAAATCAAAACAAACAAACAAAAAATCCAGTGATTTACTCTGACTGTAAACAATACATAAAATTTAAATCTCAAATCTCAAAATAAGTTAAAGAAAAATTCTACTTTCAGGGCCTACAATACTATAAAGATACAACAATTGGTAAGGGGAAAATATATATGAAAAGTTGCAACAAAATTGTTTGCCCATTATTTTTCCTAAGAGAAAGTATATCTAACTATACTACCTCTGTCCCTTAAATTTAATAACTTCATAATTTGTTGGCAAATGTTTTAAGCAAACTGGCATATCAGAATACACAACAGAAAAACATCCATCATATTCAGCAAAGAAAACTTATATAAGCCTTTTGTACAGAATTTAAAAAAAATTCTAAATGGCTATGATTCCTCTATTAGCATAAACACATAATGCAATTTTTATAAATCTGCCATATACCAATATCTACATAAATAGATACAGATATAGATAAGAAACATTAATGGCAGTCTATTTTTGAACAGTGTGTGGGACCAGCAGATTTGTATCAGACCATGGCACGATACGGACCCTGCATCTTTAAGAACTGAATGATGAAAGAAGGCCCCCCAGCAACAATCTGAGGTGGAAGGTGACTGAGTGGACAGTTCTCAATACTCATGATTGAAAGCTTGCTGCAGAGTGCCAGCTCAAAGGGAAGGCTATGCAGGTTAGGGTTGTCATTCAAATACAGTTCTTCTAGGTTCTCCAGTGTACCTGTTAAAAAAAAAATCAAATCAATTATTTTTTTAAAAATTAGTTGCTATTTTAAAAGTTCAACCGGGCATGATGCTATGCTGGTCATTACATATACTGAACACACATTTCCTTTAATTCTCCTTTCTTAGCTTTAAAACTCTACAACCATGGATCTCAAATTTTGCTGCATATTCAAATCAACTTGGAAGACTTTTTAAACTCCTGATGTCCAGCTCACACTCCATACAAACTAAATAAATTAGAACTCCTTCCTTTATGGTAGGTCTTCAAGCTTGGAGAGCTTTGTATTTTGAAAATACATATGCCCCATCTCCAGAGATTCTGTTTGGGATAGTTTGGCACATATATAATACTTACTTATATATATTTTTAAACTCCAAAAGTGAGCTTATTATATATTCAATGTCTATAACCACTTTTCTGTTGTACATGTAAAATTTTCTCAAATAGATTTCTTAAGTGCAAAAGTTTTATTACTTAATATGAAGCTTTCACTGAGAGTTATCACATGTATGGCAGTAAGCCAAAACTCGATTTATGAGACCTTTAAAATTTTTTTCTTAGACTATCTTAGGATACTTGTATTCTCTAGGAAAATGTCTCAAGCAATTAAATGAGATCAGGTGAATATATATACTAGAAATATATGTGTAAATTTGCCTCATGTGTTTCCCATTTTTAAATTTCAAAATTCAGAATATTTGACAGTGGTATTAGAAAACTAACAGAAATAATAACTAGTATGTAATCAATGTGTTTACATGTAAGATATTTAAGCTTCAGAACAACCCTATGAGAACTTACTATTATCATCATTTTACAGGTAAGAAACTTGAGGCTTAGGGAGTTTACATACCTTATCTAAAGTCACAAAGCCAATAAGCAGCAGCGCTAGATTTTGAATTGTCAACCATCTCCAAAACCATTTTTTTTGTTGTTATACTTTAAGTTCTGGGGTACATGTACACAACGTGCAGGTTTGTTACATATGTATACATGTGCCATGCTGGTGTGCTGCACCCATTAACTCAACATTTACATTAGGTATATCTCCTAATGCTATCCCTCTCCCCTCCCCCCACCCCACGACAGGCCTCAGTGTGTGATGCTCCCCACCCTGTTTTCAAGTGTTCTCATTGTTCAATTCCCACCTATGAGTGAGAACATGTGGTGTTTACTAACCTATAGTTCCTGTGGGACGGTGCACTACAGATGGAAGAACATAATGCATAGAATTACTAATTTAAAAGCTAATATTTAATTACCATGTGACCTTAATCAAGTAATTCTCTTTATAAAGCAAGATTACAACTTGCACTGTCTAAAATTCCAGGTGGTCATGTATATTACATAAAATAATGGAAATGAAAACACTTGGAAAATGTTAAGTATTCCCAAATGTTAATATTGGTTAAATATTAATATCAATTCTAAAATCTCATAAAGAAATGTTCTTTTGGCATAAAACATTACTAATTTAATTCAACCCTGTGTAATTTTTAAATTTAGAAGGAATATAAAATAACTTCTAAATTGAGGTTATACATAAAACCTACTGGAAATGTAGGTATTCCAAAACATTCTCAAATACAGTATTAATCTTAAAACCAATCCTAACAGCCTTTAGGAATCCTAACCAAAACCAATCAACAATCAACCATCAGTGCTCTATTAAAAAAAAAATCTTAAGCCTGATATAACCTCAGTTTAAAAAACAATAGATTTGTCATATTTATCTGATATACTGCTTGAATGCACAAGAGCAAATTATTAGTACAGAGTCAAGCATTCATAGGGTTCATACCAATTTCTTCAGGAAGGTGAGTAAGTAGGTTCTCTCCAAGACCCAGATGTGTGAGATTAGTAAGGTGACCAATGCCTCTGGGAAGAGTGGTCAACTGGTTGTTTGTCAAGACTAATTTCTAGAAGATTAACAAAATAAGAGACAGTTACAAATATATTTCCTACATTTAATGTAAATTAAAATAATATGTCTAAACAATAAAATAAATTAACAGGGAAACTAGATTGGATAGAATGAGAATCACTTACATATTTTTCTTTCACAAAATATCATTTGTTAGGAAAACAAAGCCAGGTTATATGAACACAAAACTCAGCCCTAATACTAGAATAGGAAAGTCTATCTGATCCAAGAATTACATCAAAATCTTAAGAAAAATGTGCAATTTAGAATGGATTCCAAAAACTTTATATAACTACAAAACCACTAGGATAATGTTTACCTGTAAATCCTTAAGATATGCAATTTCATTTGGCAAGGATTCCAATTTGTTCTCTTCCAGATCTAACTCTCTTAACTTCCTAAGGTTTCCAAGACCATGGGGAAGCTTCTTTAGAAGATTGTTTGATAAGATAAGAACCTAATGATAAATTATTGATAATTTTTAGCAAATCATGAAATGAAATTATATACTATCATTGTGTGGCTTAAAATCTATTAAGCAATGCTTATTTTCCAAACAGTGAATATTAAGGGTAATGTTCAATTATATAACATATAAAATATTTAACTTACTTTTCTAAAAAAATCACCATAGTTATTAGAAAAGAGATTTTACTTGATTATATCAAAACTAATGAAAACAAAAGAAGCAATTTAATTTTAACTACATTTCAAAAAAATTACTGAATAGTTACAAATGTTTATCTAATAAGAAACTATTTATTCAAAACCCTTACAAACCATTACTAAAGGATGGTAAAAACTAACTTCTAAACTTGCTATATCAATCCACTGTATTTATTATCTGTGGTATACTTATTATATTGAAAGCATCCTGGAAGATACTGAAGAGGGGAAAAATGGCAGAGGAAGATAGCCTTTGTTCCGATAAAGTTACAAACTAGCAAAAAGGAAGGAGACAATACTGGGTTGGGAGAAAGAGCAATAGGTAAAACAGATGCCTAAGGTTCTGGGTAAGTTTTTATGTTCATTTATTTTCCCTAATGTTATATCACCCATAATAAATACATACAATAAGTCCGAGAAAATAATAACAGCAGTCACCATGTGACTTTACTATTTGCAAGACACTGCACTAAATGCATTATGTGCATTATTGCATTTAATCCTAATTACAACTCTACAAGATAAATACTCTTATTATCCCCATTTCACAGCTTAAGAAACTGAAGCTTAGGCAAGTTAAGTACATAAATATACAGAGATAATTACACTCAGCTTTGTTTGACTTCAAAGCCCATGTTTTTAGCCATTAAACCACACTATTTCACCTTATTAAATAATTTAAAAATTAGATCTTTAAAAAACATGGATATGAAGGAAATTTTAAAAAACAATATATTTACTATTAGTAAGTGTTTTCACCAAGGGATGAAAACTCTAGGAACTCAGAAGCAGGAGAAATCATCCTTAACTGAAGAGGTGAAAATAAAATGGATCTTTAATTATGGAAAAACATACTAAAAGAAAAAAGGGGATGACAAGAGGGCACTCTAGATACAGAAAACAATAGGACTAAGCTTAGAGGGCTAGAAATTGGCATACCAGATTTACAACAAAGACAATAATCAATGAGTAAATAAAATAGCAGGTGGATAATTAGGATGAAAAAGTATGATAAAGCATTCTAAATGACAGTCTGAGAATCGATAATTATTTTGGTAGACAATAGTGTAGTTTTTAAACAGACTAAAGAAAAAAATTGTTCTAAAAGATGCTTTTACAGAACTTTTCTTTTAGAGATATTAATACTTTATGGCACTCAAACATACCAACTTTTAGTAGGCAAGAGAAATTCAAAAGGACTGAATCTAGACTAAAGTCAACACTTCGTTATCCTATTAGGGTTGTATGTTTAAGTGAGTTCTAACATTTCTAATTATAATCTTCACCCAAACAGAAATTGTTTATTTCAATTTGAAATTTTTAAATGAGATAAGTATGGAAGGTTCTGAGGTGCTCATTTATACTAACCTCAAGAGAAACGAGACCAGACACATCCTCAGGGATCTTTGTGAGCTGATTAGTGGCTAAATTCAATTCTACCATACTGGTCCAAGTTCCAAAATCCAAGGGAAGTGATGTTAATTGATTGTCCTGGCAAAGACAAAAAGAAGCATCCAAGGTAGAACCACAAAAACAAAGTTCCATATACACTTGTTGCTTCAGAAAGAGAATTCTTAACTAAACAAAATCTTACTCTCCTTTTTGATATTTAAATATAGAAAGAAAAAAAAATCAGCAACAGAAAACTCTAAGCCTCCAAAGTTTTTTATACAGTAATGAGGCTTTTATTTGGGAGTTAAACTGGAAGTTTGTTCCTTATGTGATTGTAATGGAAATAGAAAAATACATTATACAGAGAAACACTGGAGATTTCAAAGATCCTATAAATACGTTTTTACCATTTCACAATATGTAGAAATCACTGAATAAAATATAAATGCTCAAATAAAGATATGAAAACAATAGAATAAGACACATCTAATCACATCCCATGAGGAAACCAGAATGAACTCAGGAATTCTTGAGGTGCTAAGCAGTAAAGTAGGGGAGGAAAATAGTCTTAAAAAGACAACAAATTAAATAATTAAAACACGAATCAGGTATTTACCATTTCACTTTAAAAATCCGTAAGAAAAAAATGGTAAAATATATTCATCGCTGAAACAGAGGAAACAGTAAATATGGTCTTAATTTGGGTTAAAAATTAGACACGGCTGTTCACAGAAAAAAAGTATGCCACTTTAATTCACTTACAAAGTACACTTTCATCAATAATGTCTTGTACCACATTGTTATGTGTTAGGGGTATTGGTCCTGGGAGAGGATAATCAACACCCCATCCAGCTCAATACCAACGATATATGCCAGTATGTTAACAGTGATGCTACCTCAGTGGCAGTATTATTTTATATCCTTTATGTCAATCTGTATCTTTAAAATTAGCTGCATTGCACATGGATTGTCTCATTTCACACAAAATGACCCACAAAAGAAATCCCAAGTAGCAAACATTCTTTTGAAAACCAACTTTTTCTTTTATTGTAATATTTAAACTTGTTATCTATTTAATATTTAAGCTTATTACCTATGTATGCCTAAACTACTGACACTTATAGTATGATTTATAAGGTATTTTCATTTTTAAAAATTTACTACTGGTACTTACATGCAAATGCATAAACTAATGAACCCTGAACCACTGTGTTTTAAGCCTATTACTACAAAATGAATGTTCAGAATCAACACCATTACCACTGCTAAATCTCATATAACCAGACTGATTAACAAGAAATTTTACAATTGTTAAAACTGTAAGAGTATCTTGAATTTCCATTAGTTTACTTATTATATACTTCCAAAGAATCATCATAAAAGATACATACCATATTTATGAGCAAGTGTGGATATAATTTAAAAATTGTACATCTAAGATTATAGTTTAAAGAACCACAACTATGTTCAAACGGTTCATCATGACAGGAAGAATACTATTAGCTATGTGGTCAATTCAGTTATCTTCTTTGGGCCTAAAGTTTGTCCAGTACAAATTAAATCACTAAACTTGGTAATTTTCCATTTGTTTTCTCCTTTTGCAATAAATTGCATTACAAAAGTCAAACTCGATCACTGTAAGCAAAAGGAAACTAACGTTCACCCATAAATAATTCTGATCTCTAAACATTTTGGCAAAAACCAGCTATATGTATAAATATAAAGATCTTTAATATATAATTAAGCATATTAAAAACAGCTTTCAAAAACTCCGGGTGGGAAAAGATTTTTTACATGCTTTAACTTTCTTCCACTTGATAAAATGAGAATATTTCAACTAGTATGTAGTGTTCTTTTAGACCAAAATATCATTTTTAATGGCTCTACAGTATTCCACTAAAGACAAATTACTTAACAAAATTAAATCTCTATTAATAAGTTGGTACCTATGAAATAGATGGCTCTGCAATACATATCCCTACAACTATACTTTTACAGATATTCATATTTCCTATTTTGTGGGGGATAGGGAACAGGTTCTTGCTTTCTACACCAGGCTGGAGTGCAGTGGTGCCACCATAACTCACTGCAGCCTTGAACTCCCAGGCTCAAGCAATCCTCCTGCCCCAGCCTTCCATGTAGCTGGTACTACAGGCCAGCTAATTTTTAAAAATTTTTTTGCGAGACAAGGTCTCACTATATTGCCCAAGCTGGTCTTGAACGCCTAGCCTCCAGGGATCCTCCCACCTTAGCCTTCCAAAGCACTGGGATTACAGGTGCATCAGCCACTGAGCTGGACAATGATTATTTCTTTAGGACAAATTCCTAAGGGTATGCACAGTTCTAAGATATTTGTTATCTGATACAAAGTACCCTGAAATGTCTTATTATCAGTTTAGACCCATCAGCAAGGTACAAGTACCCACTCCCCACACAATTAGAAAAAACATAAATATTAGTGGAAGTACCAGTTAAAGCAATTCCTTCCCCTAATAAACAAATATATGCTTACCTTCATATTCAGCTTACTTAATACTTTAGCTCTGGAGAAAATTCCAAATGGAATTTTATTGATTCGATTGTGTTCCATGTTGAGGGAATAGATGGTAGAAAACTGAGATGGACCACCCACTGGATATAACTGGAAGCAATTCCTAGCTAAGGTCAAACTATTCAGTTTCACAAGACTTGATAAAAGACTCTGTAAAAAAAAAAAAAAAAAAAAAATGAAATAAACATAAGAATTAGAACTGTGATGAGACTCATTTTGTATAGAACAGCAGTCTCAACACAAATGCCTCAAAGGGCTTTGGGGGTGACAAATGACAAAGACTGGTTAGGGCAGTCTGTGACACCTCTTTACAGGGACAGTCACTACATAGCTCTAGCAGATTGGTACCTTGCAGAAATGTGGAACCAATGTAGACTTCCAGATTTTATAGGAGCAAACAGAACATTTTTCCAATTTTTATTCTTTGGCTTCAATTTATTTAAAACACTGTATGGAATAAGGAAAACATGTCTGTGTGTGGAGAGGTGCCTCATGGGTGACTAATTTGAAATTTCTACACTGCAGAAACTTGAGTGTCAGACAGTTCCAGGTCTGAGTCCTGCCTCTGCCACTGGCTGTGTGACAAATCCTACCTAGTCTTAAGTTATATACCTATCTCTAAATTATTGAGATTAACATAATGATTCCTTTTAGGGAACATTAAATTCAGGAGATAATTATGCTTCCTGATACTGTATAATACACCGCTTTTCTATATGGTAAAATTTCTGAGGGCATATATGTACCCATTAAACAAGTATTTACTTAGCACATAACCCCATCTTCCCCTACTTTAGACTCCCACCATTTAACCAAAGTATTAAATATTCAGGTATTACCAAAGAATCTCTGCAGTTAAGAAGTACATAGATAAGAAATAATTAGAAAATAATATATGACTGTATATAATCAATAATCAATTACATAGAATAGGCTCTTGCTATTCAGTCTGGGCCAAGGAAAAGCAGTATCAGCATCCCCTGGGAGCTTGTGAGAAATGCAGACTCTTGGGCCCCACTGCCAGTGAATCATAATATGCATTTTAACAAGATTCCCAGGTGATCTGCATGCTCATTAACATCTGAGAAATACTAGTAAAGGCTATAAATTGTTTTGAATCTTGACTCTATCTTTAAATAGCTTGTGACTTCGGCAAGTTATTTTTCTGAACCTAGTGTATCATTATTTAAATAACAATATTTTATGGGTCATAGGGAAGACTAAAAGCGATAAAATACATAAATAACTTTACAATACCTAGCAGGGAGTAAGTGCTTAAATTTTAAATCCTTTCTCTATTTAAATTCAAAGCAAGGAATACTGGAATAACTGGAAAAATAGGATGAAAGTTGACAGCTAGATCTTGAAGGATGAAAACATTTTAAAATACTCAGAGAAATAGAAGAAACACTCTAGATTCAAAGTAAAAGCACAAGCAGGGAGAAGCAAGCACTGTGTGAGGTATGTATGTTTTTTAAACAATATTCAAACTTCAGCTGTCTACCATCAGCAAATTGAAAACTTAGTACTTGAGGTGACAGTGTAATTGGCAAAGCCATCTGAAGGAATGAAGTAACTATATAATTGAGGATATACCTATACAGAGAACTGAAACTTGTTTCTTTATACTGTATCTTAAGAAGCTACCCTTAAAATCTGTGTATTGTTATGCACAAACAAAAGGAACAACAGAGGTAAACCTGTGGCCAGAAAACTGCATGGCAGTCGATTCACGAAAAATCTCTACGGGCTACTCAATTGAAAATAAAGGAGTTTTACTGAGCCTCATGGCAAAAAATGTGATTCTTTTTATTCTTACAACTGACTTACTTTATTGAATTGACTCATATGATAAAATGTTAATACTGAATATATTTGAGAAGGGGCAACAAGAAGGCAGCTCTTCGAGCTCTCATTTCTTAGTCACATTGTGAAACAGGGGTTGCTTATCTTTTTTTTTTGGTTAGAATCAGACACATCTAGGCTCCTATTTTATACCTTCTACTAAGTTTTGTCAACTTTGGTGAATTAATTGGATAATCAATACACCTCTTACCATACTTCCAGAAAAATATCTAAGGTAACAAATTCGGCCAAAAATATAACTTCTCTTAAGCCTTATTTTGCTGCTTGATGAGGATACTCCAATAACTAGTAGGTTTATGACAAAGATTAAACAAGATAGTACGTGTAGAGTACCTAGACTCATGCCTTGGGACTATGTGGTTCAAATTATTAAGTTCCTTTTACTTATATGTAGACATCTACATTAAAATAAGTCCATTTTCAGACAGTCTTCAAATGACAAAATAGTCATTTTAGCAGCTCTGATTTCAGCTATTTAATATGCCCTTATTGAAAACCACTTTCATGATTTCTTGCCTAACCCAGCTTGGGTATCTTATAAGTGCTGTCTAATGGATTTTATTGTTTTCCTCACTATAAATGCAGATAATTTCACATTTGCATTGAGACTATGCTGCTTCCAAAGCACACTGATTACTTTTAAATTAAGATTTCATACTTTCCCATATTCAGTGGGACTGGGAGTGGGGCCCAAGAGTCCACATTTCTAACAAGCTCCCAGGAAAATCCATATTTCCTAACAGGTACCCAGTAATTATTAGTTTCACTTCACTGACAATAAGACTGGATATGTATTAATTTAAATTTTTTCACTTTTTTTTTTTTTTTTTGAGACAAAGTCTCCCTCTGTTGCCCAGGCTGGAGTGCAGTGGCGTGACCTCAGCTCTGCAATCTCTGCCTCCTGGGTTCAAGTCATTCTCCTACCTCAGCCTTCTGAGTAGCTGGGATTACAGGTGCCCGCCACCTCACCCAGTTAATTTTTTGTATTTTTAATGGAGACAGGGTTTTGCCAAGTTGGCCAGGCTGGTCTTGAGCTCCTAACCTCAAGTGATCCACCTGCCTCGGCCTCCCAAAGTGCTGGGATTACAAGTATTAGCTACAGCGCCTGGCCTTAAAGAATCTTTGTTCTTAATTCGATTACACACACACACTCAGAAAAACTACCAAGTCAAAACATAGTAGCAGCACTTACGTAAGACATTTTTTGTTACAAAAAAAAGACTTTGCAAAGCTCAATCAATCAGTAAGTCCACAATTCTTCTGTTACATTACTACAGTAAGATATGCTTGAACAACTATAAGCAAACATCCATTGTTGACATGCTAAAATAGGTAGGAAAATAAGGAAAGTCAATAGTAAAAGACTAATAATAATATTGATAAAGACAACTTTAAAAGAAGAGTATTATATTGGCTGGCCACGGTGGCTTACGCCTGTAATCTCAGCACTTTGGGAGGCCGAGGCAGGTAGACCACTTGAGGTCAAGAGCTCGAGATCAGCCTGGCCAACATGGTGAAACCCCCATCTCTACTAAAAATACAAAATTAGCCTGGTGTGGTAGTGCCTTTTATCCCAATTACTTGGGAGGCTGAGGCAGGAGAATCACTTGAATCTGGGAGGCAGAGGTTGCAGCTGAGCCGAGATCGCGCCATTGCACTCCAGCCTGGGCAACGGGAGCTAAACTCTGCCTCAAAAAAAAAAAAAAAAAGTATTATATCTTACCCAATTAATCCCTAAGCAAAATAAGTGAAAATACTTTTCTAATAGAATCAACAAAACCTAAAAATGTGTTTTAAAAAAAGATTCTGGCAATTGTTTTATACTAAATAGGCCTTAATATTATTGCATAAACAAGGTAATAATTTGAGTCACAGGAGAATTGCTGCTAATATTAATTTTGATGATAGACAGTGCATTCTGTATCACTTATCATCTTTCTTTTTATAACTGAACTGGATAGGGTAGTTGAATTTTAAAACCAGCCATATAGCTTTTCCTTAATACCTTTACTGTCAGTTCCCAAAATGAAATGAGATTTACATGGTGCTAAAGTAGAATACAGCACACTTACTTTTCTCCTAGTTTTTCCCTTTTTCTTTGCATTAAAAAAAAATAAAAACTTAATAGGTTCATATACCCATTCTTTCTTGTTTGGAGTTACTTTAGCAGTGGTGGTACATCCACAGCATACTCATTATTTAAACAATCTCAATGACCAAATTATTTACCCTGCTATAAAGATTTACTAGCTTTCCTTGAATTATCTTGCAGACTCACTTCAAATCTTGTTTTCTCTAATCCACTTCTTACCTCTGGTAAAGTAGAAATGTTATTGTTCTCTAAATTTAATTCTTCAAGTGCACTGCATTTTGATAATGATCTGGGTATTGCTGACAGTCTGTTATATCTCAGACCAAGACGACTTAAACTGGACAGGTTTCCTGTAAACACACACAAAAAAAGAAATTTATTTTTTACAAAATCTGATGAGCCTCTCACTGTCACAGGCTATGTACTAACTATTTAAAAATTAAAGTACTGTTTCAGCAAGATCCTTAACTTCTAGCACAAGGAACCCACACTACACTATCGATTAGGATGAAACTGAAATCACTTTTATGCTCACTTGTCTTGGAGAAATAAGGAAATATACAGCTATAAGTTAGTTTTTAAATGAACAATTAGATAAAGTATTGGCATACTTTAACAAGTTAATCTTTAGATAAGGCCTAATTTAACTGCATCAAAGCTGTGTATATTTTAAACTTACAATAATTATTCCATTTGTTCTATGTTATGATGATCCAATTTAGAACAAGTAGTTATATATAAGTATGTACACGTAATTTTGGAGAAGAAATTTCCAAATTTCTAAAATAGTATTGTTTAAAACATAAATTATTTACTGAGATCAGAAAGCTTCAATACTGAAAAGTTGGCCTGATGGTAAAAAATTTCTCAACCCCCTCCCCAAAACTTACAAACTGAAGTGAAAGTTATAGTCTCTTTTATCTAAGCATATCCAGCTTGAGCACAAAATAGCCATTATTGAATTTTTAAAAAGCAGAGCATTTTCTTTTCTTTTCTTTTTTGAGACTGAGTCTCACTCTATCGCCCAGGCTGGAGTACAGTGGTGTAATCTCAGCTCACTGCAACCTCCACCTCCTGGGTTCAAGCGATTCTCCTGCCTCAGCCTCCCAAGTAGCTGGGATTACAGGCGTCCACCACCACACCCAGCTAATTTTTGTATTTTTAGTACAGACGGGGTTTCACCATGTTGGCCAGGCTGGTCTTGAACTCCTGACCTTAAGTGATCTGCTGCCTGGAACTCCAAAGTGCTGGGATTACAGGCATAAGCCACTGCGCCCAGCTGAGCATTTTATTTTCTAGGTATTTTCTATTTTTCTTGCCAAGACTACATGGCCAGCTATATATAAAATGAATGATGAATATAATGACTTCTGTTATCATAAATGGTTCAACTCAAATTCAATTCTGCAAATAATATACATTAAAAATGTTAATTTTGATACAAAAAAAGCTAACAAGACAAGAATTTAGTCCAACATGCTATTTTGCTGTGGCTGATTAATTTCTTTTTTCACTTCAAATCACAACTGTTGCTATGAGATACTTGGATGGGCCAGGTTAAAATGCCAAATGCAGCCTTTACTTTTAAATTAAACAGTTATTTCCAGTGTTAGAAATTACAGAAGTGGATGCCTGTGTCAACACTTAACTTCTTGGAGATAAGTATTTTGAGGCCTTTCAGCCTTCGCAACCTCTTGATGTCCATTTCTTTCCTTTTGCTTTAATCATTGTTCAAAAAGCTGTCGTATGATCAACTTTCTTAGATGCAATATTACAATACTTACAGAAAACATACATTAGTCTATAGCATAAGTTAAGCCTTGACACCTTAAGAGGGCACTCATTATGCCTCATGATCCTTATCTGGTCATCAATCATCTGCATCTTTCCTTCTTGTGGAAAGTATCAAGCGAGTGAAGTTACACATAATGAATAATTGGAGCTAATTTTTAGCCTTTACATTTTCAAGATAAGAATCAGTCACTGATAAAAAAATACTCCTAATTCTATGCCATCAGTTGTCAACTATAATGCAGAAAAATGTAACAACCACTTCAATTCTTCCAATTAGAACTATTCCATAGGTATGCTATGTTCATTTATTAATACATCACTTTTGTACAATAGTGTTTGGAAACTGGGCCAAGAGTTTACTAGGTCTATCTAATTAAGTGAGATTCCAACCGGCATAAAGTTGAATACAAAAGCAACAATAAAAAACCACCACTTAGCAAAGACAAGTTAATTTAGTCTTTAAAATGCTTTGTAAATTAACTAAGAATGCTTCACTTAGTGACTTCATCAGAAGCGTCTTTCTGATGACACTCTGGTGAGACGCGTCAATTCTGCAGGAGAAAAAAAAATTGACTTTCCAAAGCCTCAGAAAATTCAGTGGTTAGAAATATGAACGAGAATATTCACTACTGCTATCACTGCGTTAGGCCAGGCGTGGTGGCTCACACCTGTAATCCCAGCACTTTCAGAGGTCGAGGCAAGTGGATCACTTGAGGTCAGGAGTTCAAGACCAGCCTGGTCAACATGGTGAAACCCCGTCTCTACTAAAAATACAAAATTATCCGGGCATGGTGGTGCACACCTGTAGTCCCAGCTACTTGGGAGGCTCAGGAAGGAGAATGGCTTGAACCCGGGAGGAGGAGGTTGCCATTAGCTGAGATTGCGCCATTGCACTCCAGCCTGGGCGACACAGCAAGACTCCATCTCATTTAAAAAAAAAAAAAAAAGACAATAAAAATGTTACTTAAAAGCTGGATTGGCAGAAAATAATTTGCTTTATGACAAAATATGTTAATTAAGTCATATAATGGCAAAAATAGGGACAATCTAAATATTCAACAATAGAAGAATAATTATTTAAATTGGAAGCATCACAATGTAATAGAAAAACCGAAGTATTTTATATTATTTATATGTCCATGGGCAAGTTATTTAACCTCTCTGTGTCAGTTCCTTATCCATAAAGTGGAAATAATGCCACACACCTAACAGGGTAGCTCTAGGGGTTAGATATAACACGCATAAGATACTTAGCACCATGACTAATAGATACATAATAGATGTTCAAATATATAATTTTCATTCTATAGTATGTCTATATTCTGCAATATTTTGTACATATTAAAGTTGTTATAAAAAGTTTTAAGATGTGAAAGACTTTAGGTATGATGTTAAGTTGGGGGAAAACAGCATGATAAAATTGTGTATTTTGTATAATTTCAACAACGTAAGAAACAGGCACGCAAAAAAAGGGAAAGAAAATGTATCAAAACTAACCATTATCTCTGCATGGCAGAATTACGGAAGAACAATTAAAAATTTGTTTCATTTTGTCTGCATTTTTCCTAATTTTCTATATTTTAAAACTTTTAAAAATTTTGATAAGAATAGATCTATAATTCTAAAGTCATCCTAATTTTTTAAAAAATTGTGACATCCTTCCACCATCCTTTTTCTTTTGGATGAATATTTTACATTACAGAGATATTTTATATAATGTGACCAATTTGCATTATATGCCTGTACATGTTTTTAATAGTATATTAGACAATATATTGCAGGTTATTTCACTTAATTCTGGTTTCTAAGTCAATTTGTTTTAAAGTTCAAAATGTGCTATCTTAACAATGCAAAGACCAAGGGGAAAAATGCCAATAAACAGTATACATCATTTGCCAAATAAAGAACAAAATAAAAATGCCCAAAATTCATTTTAGAATTCCTAGTTTCCTGATATTTAACTCACTTAACTCTGTGCTCTGTGATAAAGCTCTACCCACCTCTTGACAAGTGCACAGGCACACCCACGGCACTGTGCCAACACCTCTATCGTCATGATTACACCATATTATAAATGTTTATTTCATGTCTGTGTCCATTTTTAGACTTAGTGAGCTATCCACTGTCAGAACCCTAGTGCAGAGCCAGACACTGATAATATGTATTTGCTGTTTACTGAGAGTTTATTATAATAAAGCAAAAATTGAAAAACATTAAAAGGGTAGGCTGTATTCTATAAAACTGTGTTTATAGAAAGGGAGTAAGTATATATTTATCTAGTTAAAAATGTTTTCTACTATCAGTTTTATCCCTTCTAAGTCAGTCACAAAATTCTATTTGTATTCTCAAAATACATTTCTCATGTTTGTCCCTTCTCCAATCCCACCCTCATCATTTTTTTTATTTTTAAGAGACAAGAGTCTGACTCTGTCGACCACGGTGGAGTGCAGTGGCACAATCATGGCTCGCTGCAGCCTCAAACTCCCTGGTCTAAGGTGATCCTCCTACCTTAGCCTCTGGAGCAGCAGGGACTACAGGCATATGCCACCACACCCAGCTAATTTTTGTATTTTTGTAGAGATAGAGTTTCGCCATGTTGCCCAGGCTGGTCTCAATCTCTGTGCTAAAGTGATCCACTCACCTCAGTCTCCCAAAATGCTGGGATTACAGGCGTAAGCCACTGCACCTGGCCAAAAACATTTATACTAAAAACAACCTATTTCCTATTGTATCAAATGTAAACACTCTTTGCTAGCTTCTAGGGGTCCCCATGATATACCTCCACCCATCAATCAAGCTACTTATTTAACTGCTGTAAAACTGCACAGTGCCACACAAGACATAGTCTCTTCTCTCAAGAGGCTTACAGTACAGTGGTTTATTTTCACAAATAACTATAATACTTATAGACTACGATAATACCCTAAAAGAAGTATGAACAAAATCTTTGAATGTTTAGAGATGGGGGAGACAATTTCCAACACAAAGGATCAAAGCTGGCTTTATAAAGAAAGTGAAAAAGTTAATCTTAGAAAGAAGGAACATCTCTGTCTCTAGGAACAGGAGAGAATGAACAAAAGATGAGCAAAGAGGGAAAATAAATGTAGAAGTAAGAAGTCTGGGCCCTTTACATGATAAGGGTCATCTTCTCCATAAAGTGAACACATAAAGCTAAATTGTGGGAAAAAAAAAATGAGTATGGTGGTTTTAAGTTTTAGATAGCCATCCTGTGACATTTGATAAAAAGAAATGAAAAAGATACCTAGGAAGCAGCAGTAAGAGCCATCTGAGGGTAATCAGCAGGGACTTTACCGTAACATTTGTGAAATAACTTGTCACAGTCACCAGCTAGTTGGTGAATCCAACTTGGCTCCCTATCAACAAATCTTCCTTCAAGATCTTCACTGACTTTGCTCCACTTAGCTTGTTTCCTTGACACAGAACCATGCTGTGCTCATTCTCACCTCCATGCTGTTTGACTGTCCTCACTGCTGTGTTCAGACTGCATTTTTCTTCCATACTGAGTCCAATGCATTTGTTCATTAAGTCATTCTTA